TATTTTTTAAAACCAGAAGCTTTACTCTATTTAATCCCAAATTACATATCAGGTTGGCTGCAAGTGATTCATGGTTTTGTCTAAAATTCAATGATACTAGCAGAGGGTAAAGAAATTATCAACGATTTCATTTTACTTGGATCCACAATCAATACCCAGCAGTCAAGAAATCAAAAGATGCATTGCATTGGGCAAATCTGCTGCAAAAGACCTCTTTAAAGTGTTGAAAAGCAAAGATATCACCTTGAAGACTGAGGTGTGCCTGACGCAAGCCATGGTGTTTTCCATCGCATCATATGCATGCGAAAGCTGGGCAATGAATAAGGAAGACCGAAGAAGTATTGATGCCTTTGAATTGTGGTGTTGGCGAACAATACTGAATATATCATGGACTGTCAAAAGAACAAACAAATCTGCCTTGGAAGAAGTACAACCAGAATGTTCCTTAGAAGCAAGGATGGCGAGACTTCGTCTCACATACTCTGGACATGTTATCAGGAGGGATCAGTCCCTGCAGAAGGACATCATGCTTGGTAAAGTAGAGGGTCAGTGAAAAAGAGGAAGATCCTCAACGAGATGGACTGACACAGTGGCTGCAACAGTGGGCTCAAGCATAACAACAATTGTGAGGATGGCGCAGGACCGGGCAGTGTTTCCTTCTGTGTTACACAGGTTCGCTGTGGGTCGGAACTGCCTTGACGGCACCTAACAACAACAAAGATTTCCACAACTGAAAATATTCAAAAACTCTAAAGATAATTCCCAACAATTTTGAGCAACAGGAGCGTCTTTGAAATAAAGCTGTGATGCTCCCAAGTTAGTACTTTATTCACTTGAGTGGTAAATTCTGATATGTTTGCTAGATTATAAAGTAACAAACCCAAAATATCCCCTGATATTTAAGCCAAACAACAGTTTAGCTTGACTAGTAAAGAATGTCTGCCTTAAGCATTATGCTCTTTTAAGAACTGTTTATACGGGATCAAACTGACAATAACAATTCGAAAGGTTAGATGGAAAACTTTGGGGACAGTGAGTTCACGTTAATGGAGAGGGAACAATTCAGAAAAAGAGTGTGAGAATGGTTGCACAACTTGAAGAATGTAGTCAATGTCACTGAATTGTACATGTAAAAACTGTTGAATTGGTGTGTGTTCTGCTGTGTCTATTCTCAACAACAACAAAAAATAAAATAAATTTTTAAAAAGTTAAAAACAATAAGGACAAAAACTTAGACACAAGGTTTTCATTACAGCATTATGGAGAAAAGCAAAGATTTCGTAATAAACTAAATCTCAAACCAAAAAATTTAAAATACTACATTATTCTCACCGTATACTTTGAATTTCTATCCTCTAAATATTCAGTGCCAGAGAGTTGTTTTTTTGTCTTTAACCAAACACCCCCACCGGTGTTTCAGAGGTGTAGCTAGCTTTGAAAAGCAAAAGCAGCTAAGCCTGCGTGACGGTGAGAGACTGCGTGTGCATGTGTGTGCAGGAGTGTATGAGTGTGTAAGAGCATACGTGAGTGTGAGGATGTGTGTGTGAGAGAGGGTGTGTGTGAGAATGTGTGTGTGTGCATGAGGGTGAGTGAATGTGAGACAGGCTGTGTGAGAAGGTGTATCAGAGGGTGTATGAGTGTGTGAGACAGGGTGAGTGTGTGTATGTATGTGTAATTGTGTGTTATGAGTGTGTGAGAGTGTGAAAGGGTGTGTGAGTGTGTGAGTATGTGTAAGTGGAGAGTGTTATGAGTGTGTGAAAGGTGTGTCAGTGTGTGTATGAGAGAGGGTGTGTATGAGTGTGAGAGGGTTGAAAGTATATGAGGGTGTGTATGTGTGTGACTGTGAGAGCGTGAGACAGTGTGAGTGTATGTGAGCGTGAGTGTGAGCATGTGTGAAAGTGTGTGTGTGTATGTAAGTGTGTGAGGCAGTGTGTGAGGGTATGTGAGTGTGTGAGGGTGTGCGTGTGTGAGAGTGTATGTGTGAGACAGAATGTGCTGGGGGCCCGAGCCCTCGGTGGCGGCGATACAGACGTCACGAGAAAGGCGCGGACCTCATTAACCCTCCTCACAGCCTCGTCTTCACATTGCTTCAAGAGTCTTTGCATGAGACTCTCCTGACAGGCCACCACATTCTCTTTTTAAGACACTGCTGAAAAAGCGCCTGTTTTGGAATCCACATTCAGAAGGAGCAACTGTTCTCCATCCTCCCCTCAGCTCTGCTTCTGTCCCTTTTACCCTCAAATCAGCTGGGAAACAAGCTCCCCCAGAAGAGCACGAGCTGCCCGCTCAGGGCCCTGGGCACTGTCTGGCCCTCAGTTCTGGAAGCACAGGCTCACACTCAGTCCCGGTAGCCAGATGGAAGGAGACACTTGCCGCCCTCCCGTCTTCCCCTCCTCCTCCCGGCCCCTCTCTCCGTCCTCCCAGCCCCAGTAATGCCCTCACTCCTGGGTGACCCAGCTCCTGACCCAGGTAAGGGGCTTTGCTTTAGCTGATCGAAAGGCCACAGAGGGGGTTTTCACAAATGAAGGAGTGTCTCCTGCACAGATAAACCCAGGTTTCCACTTCTAAAACCAGAGGACTACATTGAAGCTAAAACCTGTCCAGCATCTCTCTTTCCTCACCAAGATTGCAGACATTTCCGGGCCCAGCTGTGGTCCAAGCTTCAGGAGTTGGAGCGTGGCCTTGCCCCAGCTGTCCCTGCAGGGAGGATGCTCCTCTGGAGGCCTGGGCAGAGGGCCCAGGCCTGGATGGCAGCATGGCTGCCCCGCTGTGCTCCTTCCCCGGTGCACAAGGCCACCTCTACCACAGTTGTGTGACCACTTCTGTATCTGCCAGTCTGAACACCTTGGTCATTGCTCCTCCCGCCTCCAGGCCGCCCTGGGCGGTGGCTGACGTGCAGTGGCCACATGCAGAGGCTGGTGTGCTTCCTAAAGCTCTGTCGGCCCCAAACACACCCTCTTGACAAAGCTTCCCCACGTGCACAGATTTGGATATTTGAGAAAAGCAGACTCCATTTCCCCAATAATTACTGTGTTGTCCCAGGTTGGAACTTTCATGAAACAACTGTGGAATTAAAAAAAAAAAAAAAAGAACTGCCCCATAGGGTTTGCAAGGAGTGGCTGGTGGATTCAAACTACTGACCTTTTGGTTAGCGGCCGAACTCTTAACCACAAGGCTCTGATTGTTAATAATGGGATCATTTCACACAGGTCAAGTCCAATATGCCAGAGCCAAGGGCTGGTCTACTCAACAGGTATCCCCGAGGATACTGAGCTGCTTTCTAAATTGTCTGTGAGATACAGAAAATGGTCCCCTGATGTCCACTGTGATCCCAAAACCAAGATGCTCACAGAAATGATGATGTAGGCTGGTGGGGGATGTCCTGCCTGCTGCGTCTGTTCTAGACTAAGCCACACAGCTAGGGAAGATGAGACTGTGGGCCTGCACTGGGAGCGGTGAGCAGCCAGCAGGCGGACAGAGAGACAAGAGGGGACAGGCCTCCTGTGTCCTTGTGTGTGGACAACGACCCCAGCGCTGGAAGAATGAGGCTGGCCTGGGGCTCACAGTATACTCTCATGCAATGAGCCTCCACCCCAACAGGGGGCACTGCCTGTGAGCCTGGTGTTGGGTGCCCTGGTTTGAAGGCCTGGGGGCAGGGGTAGGCACCTAACTCCCAGCAGTACAACAGCTTCTGTTTTTCTTAGACAGTTAACCCCAAGCCTAACCACTACACCATTGTTTATTTCCTCAAGATGGAAATGTCATCACCCTCCTCTCTGAGGGTAACTGGCTCTGCCTGAGGCCACGGGGCTCCTCTCAGTGAGGGATGCTGGGGCGCTCTGTGAAAACCAAATTCACATTGAACAGGACTGTTTTGTTAAAGACGATGTCTCAGTTTCCTCTGAATTCTTAAAATCCAAGGGAGAAATAGAACGTCTCAAACAAAGTCTTGGCTACCCCAGTTTTGGCTTATGCCAATCCTTTTTAGGATAGCTATTCAGAGGTAAGAGGTTGCCTTTGCTGTCACCCTTGTGATGGAGAAAGGGTCTAATCTGTACGTGCCTCTGGGGCCGCCCACCACGTGTCACCTAGCAGGGGTGTGGCTTTACCAGTTTAATACCGTTTGTTCGAACCCTTCTAATATGTCTCGGTGGATTTAACTGGAGAATATACTGAAGAATTAAAGACTCAGTAGAAAGAGGTTTGGTCTGTTTGTGAAAGTTAAGTAGCTTGTGAAATACTTTATTTTCCTGTGACCAGAAATTCTGGCTTGTAATTCTCAATAAGGGCTGTTTGTTTACAGGCAAAAAGGCAAAATATCTTTATTCACCAACCTCAGGCTGTCCCTCTCTTTGAAGGTAGCTCTGAGGTTAGTTGCATTTTGGAGGGAAGACTTATTTAACCGTGGGGGTGGGGGTGGCAGGATGTTAGGCCGGCGGGTGAAGTGTAGGAGGGTCCTCGAGGGGCAATCTTAGTTCCTACTGAAAAGGTCCAGAAATGTCCAAAAAAGACAATCGTCATGGCCCTTTCTAAGCCCTGTGATGTCACAGAAAAAAGCAGATGGCAGGGGGCAGGGATGTCGGGGAAGAGAGATTAGCTTTAGAGGAAAAGACCCAAGAACACATTTGGAGGGGGCAGTGAACAGCTTCATTTTTTGGCCTTAAAATAGTGATTTAAAAAAAAAATGCATTTAAGAAATGACCCTAGTACACGGTAAGCTATTAAGTAGATTTTTGGGGAGTGGGTTAATGACACAGTCGTGAAAATAAGTTGGTTGCTCTGAAGCAGACCACACCGAGAAGAAAGGAGTTGCTGTTAAGCGGCATTTTAGTGTCTGGGAAGGAAATCTTTCCACTTCCGTTGTCTCTGGTTTGCCTTTGGCCTACGTATTGTTTTCCCAACATTTCATACAGCGTCCTCAAGCATTCTCTAGACTGTAACTGTCACGTGCTAACGGAACACTTCATTGGCTACAATAAAACAGTAGCAAAAACACCTACTGGATTGTTGCTGGCTTTCCCTGCAAGGATGACTCTGGCCTTGACCTTGTTCATGTTAAAGTTCTTCAAGTAGGCCTCGTAAATTCTCTTGGCAAGAGATTTGAGATCTGCAGTTTCAGAATCTTCTATATCATGGTCACATGTAAGAATTTCTGCTTTCAATTTTGCTTTTTCGGACCTTGGCATTCGTCCAAAACGAATTGCTGAGGGGTGAGGAGGGGGAGATGAAATAATGGGGAACAAACAGAAATGAACAACACAGCGGTGGAAGGGACACAGACAATGGCTAATGGTCAAACGACAAGCTCCAACCATGACTTACACCAGGAATGAAAAGCTACAGGAAAGGGAAACCCCATTCCTCAGTACGATTCAACTTTCCCTTCTGGAGACAGAAAAAGAAAACTCCAACTCCACAAATCCTAGACAATTTTTTTTTTTTTTTTTTACAAAGGTTTAAAAAAAAAGTAACACCACTACTCACTTCATTAGCATGTTAAGTTTAAGGGGGCTATCAACTTTTAGGTACATAATCGATTCTGTAGGTTAAGAGGATGAAAATGACTCTTAGAATGAGTGTATAAAATACTTCTTTTTCTTGTTCCAGAAGGTAAAGGTGCAACTCTAATGAACTAGTTATTTTACATTTTGTTCCACATACTAATTGTTGTTGTCAGTTGCCACAGAGTCGATTCCGACTCATGGCGGCCCCATGTGTGCAGAGTAGAACTGCTCCATAGGGTTTTCAAGGCTGTGACATTTTGGAAGCAGATCGCCAGGCCTGTCTTTCGAGGCATCTCTGGGTGGGTTTGAACCGCTGACCTTTCGGCTAGTAGTCAAGCGCTTAACAAATAGTGCCACCCTAGAACTCATGCATAACCCGTTCTAAAATGAGAGCATGGTTGAATATAACGAAACTTACAATATGGTAAAATGTTTAAAATGACACACACTTCCTGTGTATGATATGGACATTAAATCCCTGTGATTTCCAATTGGTTTCAGAATTTTAATCAAAGTCTTACCATTTGAGGTTCTAATGATAACTCCAACTGTCCTGCTGACTCTCAGCCATTTGAGACTCTCATCTTCTTAGGTGATTATGATTACAAAATGATCGGGGTATTCAATGTGGGAGCATATTCATCTGCAATGCAGTCCCTTCCCCGGGAACAGTGAGGGCTAGCCGAGGGACAAACTGGGGAGGTGTGGTGCTGGCCTTACCTACCGTTATGTGACATCCCCACCGAGAGGCACTTGTGGAAGCGACAATATTGGCACTTATTTCGATTCTTTTTCTGAATCTTGCAGCTGCGATCACATTTGTCATAAACCAGCTTTAGCCGAATGGTTCGACGAAAAAAACCCTGTGAGATTAATATACAGTTTGGTAAAGACTATGGACCACTGATAAGGCTGACATTGCCTTACGCATGTTTCTGGTTGTTCATTGATTGTCTCTCCTTAAATGAATTACATGTAGAGAAATAGTTCTTCACATTTAAAATAAAAAAATAATATGTGGCTTAGTTCCCAGTAATTTCAAAATGTCCTTATCTGACTTGGGCAGACACAATCACAGTCTTCCAAAGAGTTACTTAGCCCTACTAAGATTATACAAATGTAACTTTTTCCTCTTATGTGATGTATCCATATATGGGACTAAAACTTTCTGGAAAATTTTGGAAAAGAATATTAATTCTCTGAAAAACAAAAATTATAGGAACAGGAAACCAGCTTTTTGTCAATAATTTTCTTGCTTTATAAGACAGTCTTAAACTTTACCCAGTTAGAAACAGCTTTATTATTAAACCCACAAAATCCAAAACGAGGCAAAGGGTATTAAATCACGTTCCTGAAGAAAAAGCTCACTTTATGAGTAGCTTTTTAGATTTACTTTAAAGCAAATGGTTAGAAAACTCGTGAAGGAGTTTATACTTGCTTTGGTATTTTTTCCTTTTTTAAAAAATAATTTATTTTATTTATTTTTTGTTGTTGAAAATATACGCAGCAGAAATATACCAATTCAACAATTTTTATATGTACAATTCATTGACATTGATTAATGGTTACCCTCCTTTTCCAAACTGTTCCTCCCCCATTAATATGAACTCACTGCCCCCTAAGTTTCCTATCAGACCTTTTGAGATGCTGTTGTCAAACGGATCCCATATAGATAGTTCTTGAAAAGAGCACAATGCTCGTGACAGATACTCTTTACTAATTAAGATAAACTATTGTTCGGTTTAAAGAACACTTCAGAGGAGATTTTGGTTTAATGTTTAAAGATTATCTCAGGACAATAGTTTCACGGGTTCATCCAGCCTCAATGGCTCCAGAAAGTCTGGATTCCATGAGATCTTGATATTCGGTTCCACATTTTCCCCCTTTTGATCAGGATTCTTCTATAGAATCTTTGATCAAAACATCCAGTAATGGTTTGCTTTGGTATTTTTTTCCTCTTTGCTTTTAAACCATTCTTTCATATTCCTGACTTGGTAGGTTTGGCTGACCCACATAAGGAGACAGAAGTTTCCTGGGAATGCAAGAGGAAGGTTGATAGCCTTACCTGGCATCCTTATTTAGCTGAGTTTGTATGGTAGGATGGCCCAGAATGTAAGGGATTAGAAGAGGAAGAGCAAGAAGAGAGAACATTAAGCCTGAGGGTACAGAATGCTCTCGCTAATGTGGCCTGTTCTACCTGCCAGCCAGGACTTGGAGACCAGGCTTTGGTTTGGGACAGAATGTGTGGCGTGCCCTTCAAGGCTGTGGCATTTCCCAAAAGTTAATGAACTCTTCAACACCTAACATGAGCAATGGAAGGTGATTTCTGATTTCAACCATTCAGCTGACCACCTCTCCCATGTATCATGCACATGAAGCACCTAAGCTATAAAGGAAACTGAAAACTAAAAACATATCATTCAGAAGACATCCGGGATGCAACAGTGTGTGATTCTTCTCATCACTGTGCTGGAAAGCCACAGAGAGGCTGATGGTCCAGCTGGCAAAAGACTGGACGAGAGACTGGACCTTGTGTACTCAGGGCCCTGGTCATAGATTCAGAGGTCTGGTATGGGTTCTGGTGGCTCTTCTCATGAGCTAGCGGGAGGAGGACATACACACACATGCACTGGCTCAGAGGGAGTGGCCCCAGACGTGCAGGAAGGAATGGCTGAGGCATCAGGATCAGCGTGAGGAGTTGGCTGTGGGTTCTGTCCTCGCCTGGCCATGTACTGTGGGATCCTGAGAAGGACTCCACTTCTGACTGCCAGTTCCTGATTCTGCCCCACCTGACCCTGAAGACCCTCAGAGAAAGTGGGCAGAAGCTCTCCGACCTTGTATTCAAATGAAGGGACTATCCTTAATGCTTTTATACTTCCCTAAGTTATTCACAAAGCACAACACAGCCACCCGTCATAGACTCTAGAGAGACATGAATCTGTTCATCAGGTTGGTTCCCTATCGATGACTTTTTGCAGATATTTTTAGCAAAGATAGATATTTGCATATATAATAAAGGCAACCCCAATTAGACACTGGTGCCGCCACCCCCTCCTCCTCCGGGGTGCACTGTACCTTGCAGCCTTCACAAGCATGCACCCCGTAGTGGTAGCCGGAAGCCTTGTCCCCACAGATCCTACACTCAATGTTCAGTGCTTTGCTGGATGGTTCATCAGTGCTGCCAGGAACCACAGGACAGTTAACTGACGAAGGGCTTGAAGCTGGGGAGAGGGTATCTGGGGAAAAGAGGAGAGATTCAAGAGTCTTCAAGACATCACCGTCTTGTGTCTAAGTCAGGCTTAAGGGAAAAGGATTTCACGTATGAGGTGTTTATTGATAAGGCACCATGAGTTAGTCTGCAGAGCTCCCATCCTGGGTCTGTCCCCTTCTGGGTCAACCACATCCTCCTGTGCTCCTCTGACTACTGCTGTGCTGGCAACCCCAAAGCTCATGTGCTCTTGTTCCTGCTGAGCTGCCTCCGGGGCTCTGGATCAGTATATCCAGCTGTCTCACAAATGCCTCCACCTGCAAGGCTCCCTTAATCCTCTCCTTGACACATCCTACACAGAACCCATGTTTGCTTCCTTCCTTCGTTCCAGCTCTTCTGCAGTTGTTAACTCAGCTAATGGCACCAGAATAAAGTCTAACAACCCATGTGCGCAACACCAAAAACACAATTCATCAACAACAATAACTACAAAAAAAATGGTAGGTTGAACTTTATTAAAATTAAAAACTTCTGTTCTGCAAAAGACACCGTGAAGAATGAAAAGTCAAGACACAGACTGGGAAAAAAGGGTTGCAAAACACTATCTGATAAAGGACTTGTATACAGGATATAGAAAGAACTTGTATAACAAAGCCTAAGAAGATTTATAGGAATACAAAAATATCCATCACCTAACAAAGTTTACAATGTCTGGCATCCAATAAAAACTTACAAGACACCCAAAAAAGCAGGGAAATACACCTTCTCCTCACTATCTCGTTATCTAATATTTTGCATTTACAGTAGTAAAAGATCTACTATCCGACTATTTTGCTCATTAACAGTGTATGTCTGGCAGTAATGAACACTGAGGTGCGAGGTGAGAGTAATGCTGGCTGTGATGGTTAAGGTTATGTGTCAGCTTGGCTGGGCCATGAATCTCAGCAGTTTGACAGTTACGTAATGATGTAATTTAGCAGTTATGTAATGACGAATGATGTAGTCATCTTCCATTTTGTGATCTGATGTGGTCACCCTCCATTTTCACATAACATAGATTTCGCTTAAAATGACCTGGTCTTCGGAACCACACCATGTCAATAAGTAAGGAGAGGGTGTATGAACCTAATAAAGAAAAAAAATCAGTGAACTGAAACTGACCTAGATATGACACAGATAACAGAATTAGTAGACAAGAGCATTTAAAAAAAGTTATCATGACCATATTCCAAATGTTCAAGACACCAGAAGGAGACTGAACATGTTAAGGTAGAAATGGGCACTGGGGGGGAGGGGGAGACCAAATCATGCTTCCAGAGAGGAAATAACAATATCTGATTAAAAAAATACACTGGATGAGATGAGGAGCAGATTAGACACTGCCTAAGAAAAGACTAGTAAACTTGAAGACAGCAATAGAAACTATCCAAAATGAAATACAGAGAAAAAAAGACTAGGGGGAAGAAAGAACATAGCTTTAAGTACCTATAGGACAAATTCCAGTGGCCTAATGCATGTATAATTGGAGTTCCTAAAGGAGTAGAGAGAAGGAGAAACAGAGAAATCATTTGAGGAAATAATGGTGTAACATTTTCCAGATTTGATGAGAACAACAAACTCACTGATCCCAGAAACTCAATGAACCTCAAGCACAAGAAACATGAAGAAAACAACACAAAGGCACATTATAGTAAAATTGCTTAAAACCAATGATAAAGAAAAATTTTAACAGCAGCCAAATACAAAGGACACATAACATGCAGAGGAACAAAAGTAAGAATGGCAGCAAATTTCCTGTTGGAAACAATTCAAACCAGAAGGCAGTGGCCTAACATTTTGAAGTACTGACAGAAAAAAAAAAATCTGTCAACCTAGAATTATATACCCCTCCAAGCTATCTTTCAAAAAGGAAGACCTTTTCAGACATAGAAGCGCTGAAAGAATTAGTAACCAGCAGAGCCGTGTTACAGGAAATGTCACAGGGAATCTTTTCGGCAGAAGGCAAATGGTAACAGATGGAAATCTGGACTTACATAAAGGCATAACAATTACAAGTAAAGGTAATTACGTGGGTAAATATAGAAATTATTTTATTAGTTAAATCTCTTTGAAAGATAATTGCTTAAACCAAACACAAACGCAATATATTGTGAGGTTTGTAACATACTGTAGAAGTAAAATCATAGGACAACAATACCACAAAAGCCAAGGGGGGAAGAATGGATGCATACTGTCATAAGGTTCTTATACTAGACATGGAGTGGTATCATTTCAGTATCACCTGAAGTAGTGATATAAGTTAAGGATGTATGCTATAAACCCTAAAGCAACCAGTAAAGTAACACAAGTTATAGATAAGGCAAACAAAGGGGATAAAACCGATTTTCAAAACTTTAATCCAAGAGAAGGCAGAAAAATAGGAAATAGGGAACAATATCCAGGTCTGTCATTTTGTTGTACTGTGGGGGCTTGCGTGTTGCTGTGATGCTGGAAGCTATGCCACGAGTATTCGAATACCAGCAGGGTCAGCCATGGAGGACAGATTTCAGCTGAGCTTCCAGACTAAGACAGACTAGGCAGAAGGACCCGGCGGTCTACTTCTGAAAAGACTCAGCCAGTGAAAACCTTATGAATAGCAGCGGAACAATGCTTCTTAGAAGCAAGGATGGCGAGACTATGTCTCACATACTTTGGACATGTTATCAAGAGGGATCAGTCCCTGGAGAAGGACATCTTGCTTGGTAAAGCAGAGGGTCAGGGAAAAAGAAGAATACCCTCAACGAGATGGACTGACACAGTGGCTGCAACAATGGGCTCAAGGAGAACGACGACTGTGAGAATGATGTAGGACCAGGCAGTGTTTCGTTCTGTTGTACACAGGGTCTCTATGAATCAGAACCAACTCAACGGCACCTAACAACAACAACAACATCCAGATGGGCCAAATAGAGGACAAACTGCAAGACAACAGATGTAAATCAAACTATAATATGAAAATACAGTCAGGGTAAAAGCAAAAGAATGGAAAAAGAGATACCATGTTAATACTAGTCAAAAGAAAGCTGCAGTGGCTACATTATCACATGAAGTAGTGTCTAGAACAAAGAATTTTACCAAGATAAAGAAGATTATTTCATAATGATAAAGGGGTCAACTCATCAAGAGGATATAACCATCCTAAACGTATATGTACCTAATAACAGAGCTTCAAAATACATGAAGCAAAAGCTGATAGAATGGAAAGGATAAACAGACAAGTCTGAAATTATAATTGGAGATTTCAACACCTGTCTCCCAATAATTGATAGAAGTAGGCAGAATATTAGTAAAAATATGGAATATTTGAAAAACAGTATCAATCAACTTGATCTAATTGACATTTATATATGAGAATCTCTACCCAACAACAGCAGTACATTCTTTCCAAGTGCGTAAGGAACACTGACCAAGATAGATCATATTCTGCACCATAAAACAAGGCTCGATACATTTTAAAGGGCTTAAGTCATACAAAGTCGTTTCTCTGACCATAACGAAATTAAATTAGACATCAATAACAAACATATCTGGAAAACCCTCAAATATTCGGGAAGTCAATAACACATGTTTAAATAACCAGAGACGTTTCATTTTACTTGGATCCACAATCAACGTCCATGGAAGCAGCAGTCAAGAAATCAAATGACACATTGCTTTGGGCTAGTCTGCTGCAAAAGACCTCCTCATAGTGTTAAAAAGCAAAGATGTCACCTTGAAGACTAAGGTGCGCCTGACCCAAGCCATGGCGTTTTCAACTGCCTCATATGCACGCGAAAGCTGGACAACGAATAAGATGACTGAAGAATTCGAATTATGGTGTTAGGGAAGAATATTGAATATCCCGTGGACGGCTAAAAGAACGAACAAATCTGTCTTGGAAGAAGTGCAGCCAGAATGCTCCTTAGAAGCAAGGATGGCAAGACTACGTCTCACGTACTTTGGACATGTTATCAGGGGGAATCAGTCCCTGGAGAAAGACATCACGCTTGGTAAAGTGGAGGGTCAGTGAAGAAGACGAAGACCCTCAATGAGATGGACTGACACAGTGGCTGCAACAGTGGGCTCAAGCATTAACAATGATCGTGAGGATGGAGCAGGACCGGACAGTGTTTCGTTCTGTCGTACACAGGGTTGCTAGGAGTCGGAACCGACTCGACGGCACCTAACAACCACCACAACAAATAACCCGTGGGTTCAAGAATAAATCAAAAGGGAAATTAGAAAGTATTTTGAACTGAAGGAAAATGAATTAAAAATTTGTGGCATATGCTATAGGAGTACATAGTTGGAAATTTATGACACTAAATGCCTAGATTAAAAAATAAAAAAACTCTTCAAATAAATGACCTCTAATAGCTTTAATTTCTCTCACCAATCTTTGGTAGTTTTCTGTGTATAGGTCTTCCATATTTTTGTCATGTTTATCATTAAATATTTCATATTTTTGATGCTACTGTAAATAGTATTTTTTATTTCAGTAGCTGAGTGTTCACTGGTATATACAGAAATACAATTGATTTTTGTATACTGATCTTGCATCCTGCACCTTCTCGGGAGATAACTGGAATCTTAAAGCTGGCAGACACTTGTACAACATGTGTGTGTCCAGCTTCACTAACAATACATCACACTGGTGTTTATGATTTCACATAAGTTGAATCCTACTGAATCTGTCCTTCTTAAGCTTGTTTATTTTCATTCAACATTGATTTTCAGATGGATTCATGTAAATACATGAAGAACTAATTCATGGGGGCAGTACTGGTTTCATGGTAGAATTCTCGCCTTCCACGTGGGAGACAAAGGTTTGATTCCTGGCCACCTCACGTGCAGGCACCACCTGTCTGTCGGTGGAGGCTTGTGTGCCACTATCATGCTGAGCAGGTTTCAGCGGAGCTTCCAGATGAAGACGGATGAGCAAGAAAGGTCTGATGATCTACTTCTGAAAATCAGCCCGTGAAAACCCTATATGGATGACAACGGTCTGATCTGCAACCCATCACGGGGATGGTTCAGTGGTGGGCAGCATTTTGTTGCATTGCGCACCTGATGGCAGCTAACAACAACAATTCCACTGTATGAACACCACCATTTGTCCATTTCCCTCTGATGAACACTCAGCTTGCTTTCTGTCCCTCACCACTACCAACAATGCTGCCATGCACATCCTCATGCCTGCCTCCTCTTATGTGGCTGGAGTCCTCTAGGATGGTTCCCACGCGCTGGTGGGGTTTTAGAGCAGGTACATTTTCCATGCTCTCTCCATAAAGGGTTCATCAGTGAGCATGCCTCCGGCAAAGTTTACGGGCTCCCTCTCCCCATCGTCACTGAAGTCAGCACACAGTCATCAAAACGATCTTCCTGGAGTAGGAATAAGCAAGAGAGCTGGGGAGAAACATGTTCCTGGCCAAGAACCCAGCACGAGGGAAGCCTGCAGGTGAAAGAGCAGGAACCCTTCCACCAGACAGTATAGGGAGAACCTTCTCTCTCGATTCCCCAACAGCCCCTATCTTCCATCCTCAGAGTCGAAAACCATACACACACCTTGTTCACCACCTACCAGATACTCCTCCTGGCTTACCCAAACCCAAGTCCTTCAGTCCTAACCCAAGACCCACTTCCACCAAGAAGCCCTGTGTAGTTAGGTCTACTCCAGATGGAACTTTCTTCAGATGAGGCTGCAGATTCTACCACACTATCCTGGGTTGGCTTAAATGCTGCCTACAGAGATGAGCTGTTCCATGATTTCCTCTTTCCCAACGACACCATAGGTTGCCTGAGTAGACCCCATGTTTGATTTCTTTGTATCTGCTTTGCCTGATGGAGTCCTTGGGCAGTGCAAACAGTGAACACACTTGGCTGCTAACTGAAAGGTTAGAGGTTCGAGTCCACCCAGAGGCAGCTCAGAAGAAAGGTCTGGCTCTGGATCTACTTCCAAAAAACCAGTCACTGAAAACCCTATGTGCACAGTTCTACTCTGACACACATGGGGTCACCAGGATTTGAAGTCATCTGGACAGTAACTGGTTTTTGCCTTGCCTGATACCTGATGTAGTTCTTAAGGTAATACAGGAAGTAGGCAGATGGTTAATATAAACTTCCCAATTAAAAAAGAGACTCCTATCACAATAGGAGTCTCCATTTTAGAGAAATACATACTCACAGCATTTTTTAAACACAGCTGACTGCCTTAACTGACATTCAAGCATTATCTGATTTGTGTATAGCCTTTGAAAGCTGGCATACTATGCAAAGTGAAATACACCTTAAATGTTCCCAAGTCCCAGCGGCATGTGATATAATGCTTGATCGTGCTTGAAGACTTCCTTGCAGAAAGATGTGATTTCTTTTCCTGCTGAAGGGAACAATTTTCTCTGAAGAAAAAGCATTTCTGAACAAGACTTTCTAGGAAGCAAGTCACTCACCTGTGATAACAGATCCATCTGACCCTGGACCGCTTCCTAAATACTGATAATCTGTGAAACTAAAGCTTCCGGAGCTGTCTTCACCAATGGACTGGGAGATCTCTGGAATATTTCCCATTTCCTGTAGGAATTCTTCAGAGAGTGGGCTCTCCAGGTTGTCAGCCTCGAGTGGGGACAGGGGACAAATAGGGCTTTCCATGTCCACCATCTTGATTAGACAGCGCTGCTCACACCACTGAACGCCAATCTGTGGGTGGAAAGAGAAGTAACTGGTCACAATGACAAACGAGAACATGACTTCTTCCAGTGAAAACATCGTTTGCCACTGAAGACTCGCCTGAGTTCACGATCTCACGAGTGACGCCGTTGACCATCTTTTCTCTGCCTGGCTTTAGCCAAGCACTCTAAGAAAACAAAAATCTTGAAACCACCCAACATTTAAGGAGCGAAGCTGATGGAGCTAGGACTCATCATCGTCGTCCATTCGTGTTTGAGCACACGCTGTGCGCTGGGCACTATTCCAGGGGTGGGGTCCAGCAGGGGACAAAAGCAAGCCTCCGCTCTCCTGGGCACCCTTTCCAGTGGGGAGACAGACGGTGCTCAGATACCCAGGACTTGTGTGGAGCGTCTATGATAATGAGAGAATGCAGGTGAGAGCGGGTGAGGTTCAGGGTGAGGGAGGGAGCTGGGCAGGTGTCCCAGGGGAGAATGTGCAGGAAAAATGAACAACACAAAAGGCCTGGGGTGGAAGCACACCAGCCCATTCCAGAACAACCACGAGGTCACTGGGGCTCAGGCTAAGGGGCGCAGGGATGGGGCTTAGGCCGAGGGGCGCGCATTGGGGGTGATACCGACTCTTAGATGATCTCCTTGTACCCGTGGGGGTCACACCACGTAGTTATTTCTGAAAAATCACTGTATGGTAACAAAGACTTTAGGTCTTGGGCACAGTGGTTAAAGTGCTCTGCTGCTAACCAAAACGTTGGTGGTTGGAACCCACCAGCTGCTCCGAGGGAGAAAGACGTGGCAGTCTGCATCCGTAAAGATTACAGCCTCGGAAACCCTACGAGGCAGCAGTTCTGCTCTGTCCTAGAGTGTCGCTGTGAGTCAGAGTTGACTCCACGGCAATGGGTTTGGTAATGGATTAACAAATCCTTGGCTGAGTTTTAAAAAATCTACAGTGGCAAGTCCCAGGCCATGCTGGATGGTTTCAACTAGCAAGCCAAAGCACGCCCTCCGCACGGCAGCAGGACAAAATAGCTGTTCTTCCACGTTCGTCCGCGTCACACTCTTGCTCAAACACTTCACAGGACTTCCTGTGACGTCCTGACTAAACCCAGTGTCCTCCGCACATGGTGGCCCCAACCTGATCCCTCTGTCCCTGTGGGGGTCCAACAGCCTGGGCCATCCTCCTCCTCACATCCCGCATTATTTCACTTCTGGGCCTGCGTCCAGGCTCACCTGCCTCGACAGCCCTTCCCCACCTCTGCCGTCTCAGGGCCCCTCGCTCCCTCTCCCTCCGCCCGACTAAGCCACCAACTGCCCCTCGAGGCCGACCGGTACCATTTAACTCCCGGAACTGTTTTCCCATCTGAAAAGTGGTCACGGCGATGCCCACAGCTCACATCAAGGAGGAAAGTGAAGAAGGCGTGTGCCCGCCACCAGGCACCACAGTGCGGCTCTCACCACAGAAGACAGAACACCTCCCGAGCAAATCCTCCTCCACCACGTGTGTTTGCGGAAAGCAATTTTCCAATTTCAGGCTTGCTTAGGGCTGACGGCAGCTATCAGCGCAGAGACAGAGATGTCCTGGAGTCCCTGGGTGGCGCAAAGCGTTAAGCGTGCAATGCCTAGCCAAAGGTTGACAGTTCGAACCCACCCAGAGGCATCTTGGAAGACAGGCCCAGGGATCTGCTTCTGAAAGGTCACGGCCTTGGAAACCCCATGGAGCGGTTCCACTCTGCACACATGGGGTCACTATGAGTTGGAATCGACTCTCTAGCAAAGGGTTTGGTTTTGGAACATTTCATCAGGACTCAGGACTTTCTTTCTCTGTAACCTTTTAGCACGAACCAAGCTGTGAATCCATGACTTTTTTCTATTGTATTTTATTCTGCATTATATCTGAAGGAAGGTTCTGTTAAATTGTTAGGGGTGCAATTTGGGGTGAGAATTACTTAAAATAGTTCTCACCATAAACACAAGGGTCAAAAACTGCTATCATCAACTCACTATCAAGTCCAGCCCAACAAGAAACCAACCTCTGGGCAGAGGCTGTGTTATCCGTGAGGCTGTCGTCTCCCCCTTTACCCAACATAGCCTCAGCGCAACAATGGGAAATGCACCTTCGGTTCCTGCAAATATTCTTTTCCCATCTGGAGCATCAGAGTAGGAGGACCTAGTCTTTGACTAACAGACCAATGTGAGTTTCTTTGCCATTGCATGCAGGGAGTCAGAATATTTTTCAGTCCTACGGAGAAGCTGCACTATATGAAGAAGAACGTGGGATCAGGATTGGAGGAAGACTCATTAACTACCTGCATTATGCAGATGACTTGCTTGCTGAAATTGAAGAGGACTTGAAGCATTTACTGATAAAGACCAAAGACCACAGCCTTCAGTATGGATTGCACCTCAACATAAAGAAAACAAAAATCCTCACAACTGGACCAATAAGTAACATCATGATAAACAGAGAAAAGATTGACGTTGTCAAGGATTTCATTTTACTTGGATCCACAGTCAACACCCGTGGAAGCAGCAGTGAAGAAATCAAATTATGTATTGCATTGGGCACATCTGCTGCAAAAGACCTCTTTAAAGTGTTAAAAGGCAAAAATGTCACCTAGATGACTAAGGTGCGCCTGACCCAAGCCATGGTGTTTTCGATCGCCTAATAATGTATGTGAAAGCTAGACAATGAATAAGGAAGACCGAAGAAGGATTGATGCCTTTGAATTATGGTGTTGGTATACCACGGACTGCCAAAAGAACAAACAAATCTGTCTTGGAAGAAGCGCGGCCAGAACACTCTTTAGAAGCAAGGATGGCAAGACTTCGTCTCACATACTTTGGACATGTTATCAGGAGGGATCAGTCCTTGGAGAAGGACATCATGCTTGGTAAAGTAGAGGGTCAGTGAAAAAGAGGAAGATCCTCAACGAGATGGATTGACACAGTGGCTGCAACAATAGGTCAAGCATAACAATGACCGTGAAGATGGCGCAGGACTGGGCAGTGTTTCGTTGTGTTGTACACAGGGTCACTATGAGTTGGAACCGACTTGACAGTCCCTAGTAACAGTAACAATCATTGTACTTCTCTGTTGCTTTGAAAGAATACTTGAGATTTATTTGAAGAAATGTCAGTCTTAGTGTTAGCGATGAGTAAACAAGATGAAATCCCTCATCAAGTGAGGCAATCCTGGCCTGTCTTCTGGCCAGAGAGACTGGCTTTCACACAAATCCATGAACAGATTGGCCCTTTCTTGTTTCAAATGACAGCAGATAATAAGTGGTTTGCTTTGAACACGTCCCCCAGCGAGAGACAGCTGAGGCCACGTGGGCACACCCAGTGACCTGTACGCCTGCCATCCCAGTACGCTACAGCCTCCGGGCAACTGCTCGCTTGCTCAAGGAGCAGACATGTCAGGGGAAAGCCCCACCTCTTCGTCCCATGCCCACATCATACTGCCATGCCCCATTCTCTGAGAAGAGCACACTGGGCAGCTGGTTCTTCGCTGAGTGCTAGGCTCCACATATGAGGCCCCAGTGGTTCAGTGGGAGAATTCTCCCCTTCCAGGCAGGAGGCGCAGCTTCGATTCCCAGCCAGTACACCTCATGCACAGCCACCACCCGTCGGTCAGTGGAGGCTTGTATGTTGCTATGATGCTGAACAGATTTCAGCAGAGCTTCCCCACTAAGATAGACTAGGAAGAACGACCTCGTGATCTACTTCCGAAAAATGAGCCAATGAAAACCCTATGGATCGTAACAGTCTAATCCACAACCGATCATGGGATGGCCGGGGACCAGGCAGTGTTTTATCCCCTTGTGCATGGGGTCACCAGGAGTTGGGGGTCACCAGGAGTTGGGGCCCACTTGATGGCAGCTCACAACAACAACAACAACCAAACCCATTGCTGTTGAGTCGATTCCAACACACAGCGACTCTATAGGACAGAGCAGAACTGTCCCACAGGGCTTCCAGGGCTGTAATCTTTACCGACCTTTCGGTTAGCAGCCGAGTGCTTAATCACTGCACCACTGGGGCTCCTTAACAACAACAACACACTCCAAATGCTTTGAGAGAGAGAAGGAGGCATCACAAATGAGCACGTATCTCAGCAGCTTCCAATCTGGTCAAGGAAGCACAACAAATAGCTCCAATTAGAGGATGCCAATAGCCCTCCATCAGTCTTGGCTTCCAAGCACAGATAGAGGGTCCCCTCCATTCAGAGGCGAGGGGAAGAGCTATGGAGAGGTGACGAAAGGGAACATGTCCATGCTGCTTCTGGCAATGGTTTGCTTTTCTGCATAATCCTCTCATTCCTTACGTTACCTGAGACCTCGATCCATTTTTCCTTTGCCATCCAGTGTAAACGCTATACCTGCATTTGTCCATCACAAGCACAAAAGAAAACTAGACTGAAGTTCTATTTTTAGGTCCTAGTAATGGAACATTTACCCATCAAAATACTCCTTTGAGAACCGTGAAGCACACTGCCCACAACTATAGAATATTTAAAAAGAGAAACGGTGACAGAATTCCATTGCTAGTTGAGGTTATCTAAACACAGGACAGGTAAAACATTGGAAGAATTTTAACACAGTTGGCACCTTTAAAACTAAGGCATTTTCATTTTCTGTATCACCAACTCTTTGACGCATGATTGTTTGGAAGACTGGGCAAAAATGAGTTATTAATGGCATAATAAGACTCACTAACAACCTGCATTATGCGGATGACACGACCTTGCTTGCTGAAAGTGAAGAGGACTTGAAGCACTTACTGATGAAGATCAAAGACCACAGTCTTCAGTATGGATTACACCTCAACATAAAGAAAACAAAAATCCTCACAACTGGACCAATAAGCAACCTCATGATAAATGGAGAAAAGATTGAAGTTGTCATGGATTTCATTTTACTTGGGTCCACAATCAATGCCCTTGGAAGGAGCAGTCAAGAAATCAAATGATGTATTGCACTGAGCAAGTCTGCTGCAAAAGAACTCTTTAAAGTGTTA